AACCTACATCAAAATTGCAGTTTGCATTGCTAGAGAGCTCTTCAGTTGACGATGATCTTGCAAACTTGAAGAAAGAACTATCTGGTAGTTCAAAGGTATGCCTTATCATGCAGGACAACTATATATATATACATATATAATTTTAGATAATGCAACCAATTTTCTAATGACATAGCTCCCATGAACTTATGTTCTTATATTAAAGTTTCTGCCCATTATTTTTGTACTTATTAGCTATCTAATTTTCTTATAATTCCATCATGCTTTTTTTCTTTTGTTGAGCAAAGGAACATTAAGAGAAATTATGGAAGTCTAAATATCTGGTTTGTAATGGTTTTCCTTTCCTCTTTTCTGTTGTTTGGTACGAAGATGGATACGCACTGTACAATTAAAACTTAAAAATTCTCGTAGCTCAAAATTATGGAATTCTAAATATCCTTTCTGCTCATTGCTCTCTTTGTTAAAACAAAAAATAATATATATGTAATTAGCTTCCCGACATTTTTTTCTTAATGGTTTCTCAACAACCAGGTTCTTGACTTTTTTCCTCTTCTTTATTCCTCCAAACAGAAAGGAGAGCTCCCACCTGGAAGAACTGCTGCTCCGAGTTCGAACAAGGCATATCCATTTCGAGATTCTGAGATTGAGATGGAGCTTAATGAATTGAGAAGAAAAGCCAAGGACTTCTGAGTTTTGCTTTTCAGGCACAAATATTGCAATTCTTTATAGGCAAATATGAAGTTGTTTTCATTTTGAGAACTGGTTAGCATTTGTACAGCAGAAAGGCCAACAGATTAACGTTGTATAGCTAGAGCCCAGACTCGAATTGAAGTTGCTTCTTTGTGATTGTAGGCACCCTTTGCATGCTCTTATTGTAATTCACATCCGCTGCAGCAAAGCCAGTTTCTGGATTATGTACGAGCACCTACCTGTTAGTACATTTAGAATGATTTTTGTCTTTTCTTTTATCCTTACAGCACATTCCATGAAATCAATATTTCTGTCATTCTAAGTTAGTTGCTTTGAAGTTTATCAAAACGCTCCATTTAGGGCGTGCGATAACTCGTGTCCACGTGTTGTAATATAAGGAGATATTTAATGATATTATACCTGAAAATGTGGAAATTTCCCTCACCTTGACTAAAAAGAGTTGTAGTTTGGGATTATAGCTAAAAGCCTCTAAAGCACCAACTTGT